AGCCCTGGGAAGCGTTGTCTTTTCTTTTTAACTGCCTTTACAGGCATCCCAAGGCGCGCGGGGCCTCCAACAGGCCCGGGCCTCCAACAGGCCCCACAGGCCGGCATCCCAAGGCGCGGGGCCTAACAGGCCTCTAAACAGCCCACAGGCTCGGCATTCCAAGGTGTGCGGGGTCTCCAACAAGCCCCACAGGCCCCAAAACAGGCCCACAAGCTCGGCATCCCAAGGCGCGCGGGGCCAACAGGCCCACAGGCCCATGCCAAGAACAGGCCTCTAAACATGCCCACAGGCTCGGCATCCCAAGGCGCGTGGGGCAACAGGCCCCTAAACAGGCCACAGGCTCGGCATCCTAAGGCGCGTGAGAGGCCCCTAAACAGGCCCACAGAGGCTCGGCATCCCAAGGCGCGGAGCCTCTAACAGGCTCTACAGGCCCGGCATCCCAAGGCGCGCGGGGCCTCCAACAGGGCACAGGCTCGGCATTCCAAGGCGCGAAACAGACCCACAGGCTCAGCATCCCAAGGCGTGCGGGGCTAACAGGCCCCACAGGCCCGGCATCCCAAGGCGCGCGGGGCCTCTAACAGGCCCCTAAACAGGCCCACAGGCTCGGCATCCCAAGGCGCGCGGGGCTTCTAACAGGCCCCTAAACAGGCCACGGGCTCGGCATCCCAAGCCGCGCGGGGCCTCTCACAAGGCCCCTAAACAGGCCCACAGGCTCGGCATCCCAAGGCGTGCGGGGCCTCTAACAGGCCCCACAGGCCCGGCATCCCAAGGCGTGCGGGGCCTCTAACAGGCCCCTAAACAGGCCCACAGGCTCGGCATCCCAAGGCGCGCGTGCGGTCCCGCCAGTCCTTTAAGAGGCTCCAGAAAGGCATCGCAGGGCTTTACAGGGCTTTTCAGCGTTTATGCAAGGCATCCATCAGGGTTCCGTAGGAGGTTCTGGTTATAAGGATTCTAGGTGTTGTGGTTAGATGAGGACGTTAGACTATACACTATACACTCTAAACACCTGTATTAAAGACTATGACTATGGACTGTGTTCTAGATACTAGATACTGTGCAAACTGTATATTTTGTTGTCACGCTCTACGATACGATGCTCTACTGCACCTCGCCTGAACTCTCCCTGGACTCCCCACTGTTCCGAGCTTTCCTGCTGCATCGGCTACGCCTGCCACTCCCGCTCACGGAGGCCACCTTGCCGCTTGCCCGTGGGTCCCAGGCGGCATGCTGCCAGCCACGAGTGTTGTCAAGCTGTGGCTCGTCCCGAATGAGCGGAAGAGGCACTTCTCCGTGGAGCATGTCGTGCCAGGACGGGGGTTCAAAGCCATCGGCGGACAGCGAGTCGCGGGCAGTTTGAAGTGGCAGCGCTTTCGGCAACTCGCATGCTGTGTCTAAGTCTCGGACAAGTCGAAGGGCGAGAGGGCCCCTGCGCTTCAGCAGGGTTGGGAGGGTGTCGATCCAGGGGGCCCAAAAGGCCGTTGGCGCATGACGGGCCGCACTGCGCAGTCGGGCCAACTGGACGCGAGCGGCGACTTGCCCGACTTGCCCAGGTAATCCCTCAGCGGCGTCAGCGAACAAGAGTGAGTCAAGGCACCTTAACACGGCGGCATCATGACGAACTGCATACGCGTGTGTGCTGGAAATGGGGAGCGTGCGGAGAGCATACTGTGCCCTCGGGCATGTGCAGCAAGACAAAAGCAACCACGCGACTTGTATGTCGTGCAGGTTCGGCAGCTGGTTGAGGAGAGTGCCCTGCCGCTCCAGGGTTTGCTGTAGTTGTGCCTGCACGAACTCAGGCGTGCCGAACGGTGCTCCAAGCAAAACAAGTCCACGCTGGGCAGGGGCGAGCGCCGGGTCTCCAAACCAGATGCGGGAGGTGGTTCCGAGAGCATGCAGGCCAGTTGGGGCGACACCAGCTCCATTCCAGATGGCAGTCGTAGACAAGTTCAGGGCGAGGCGGGTGCGAAACGCTAGGTGGCGCTCAAGACGGCGGACGAGATCTAAGGTTCGCTCAGGGTTGCCCGTCATCCAAGTACGCAAGGACGCGTTCGCTAAGATCGGGCCGGACATCAAGCTGTAAATCCCGCAATGCTGCACGCAAGCCTAAGCTAAACAATGCTGGGCTCAAAGGGTCACCCTGTTCGACTCCTTCACCCTGCTGTAAGTGGCGCGGCGCGTGTGCGTGCCTTGTTGCCAGCAGTGTGCGACCCAGCCACAAACGCACGAACGGCAGGAGCGCCGAGGCCTCGGGAAGATCAGTTCGCATAGAATACAAACATTTGAGAACGCACTAGAGCATTGGCCAGCCTTCGCCGATGTGCGTCTCGAGGGCGCTTGAGCAATCGAGCGTCTCGCTAGTTCTGATGTGGTGTGCTGCCACTGATGTTGGTTTCGAGTGGGTGCTCGTGGAATCGAGCGTTTCGACGGGGGAAGAATGGTTGGGCAGAAAGCTCGCCCAAACCAGTCTCACGTATTGTACGCACACAGACACATACACAGGACATACAGACAGAGACGCACTTACATGGGCAAGCGTGCTGTGATGCCCCGGTGTGTGTTTTGCGCGCTTGTGAATCGAGCATGTGCATGGGGAGTGGCTGGTGTTGGTTGTTACGATTCCACTTATGTGATTGATGCATGTCTCGCGGGCATGCGTGTGAAAACGAGCCGAGCAGAACCGCCTACTCGAACACGTCCGTCGCTTCGATGACCTCCAGGCCGCCTGGCTGCTCCTTCATGTCGGCACCGCGCCGCGAGCCAACTACCACCTCCGAATACTTCCCCCACACCTCAGCGGCGAGTGTGCGGACCGGTCCCATGCGCACCGCACGGTTGGCACTTTGCCACAGGGCTTGGGCCTGCAATCCGCCATCGCAGACCGTTTCGCTGCTCATGGTGTCCTGGCGTGACACCTTGCCAGTCCGAGCTCCCCCCCTGCGGCGGAGCTCATCTCCTGGCAGACGCGCGGGGGTCAGAGCCCGTCAGCGAGCTCTTGGCGCGGTGTGGCGGGCCTGTCGCCCCTGTCGCCGTAGTAGTGCGAACTACCACGGACGCTGTCCCTCGTGCCGTGGAATAAAGTGCGGAAAAATACATAAAAGGTCTACATGGGGAATGGCTGGTTTGGACGTGCTGGCGTGTACAAGGGGAATGGCTAATTCTGGTATGATTATCCACGGACGTTTTTTTTTTTTGCGTGGGTGCTTCTGAAATCGGGCGTCTACATCGGGAATGGCTCGGTTACGATGTGCTTTTGTTTAGCAGATGCAGCCTTGCTGACGCATTGTTTGCATGGGGAATGGCATGTTGATGTGACCATGATGTGACCCCATCGCATCGCGCCTGTGCTTTTGGACTGTGTTCTAACAAACCGTTATGTGACGTAGCTCTGCTGCGGTAGCGGCCTCGGCGCTCCAACAACCCCTCATCTCAAGGGCAATGACAGCGAGCCAGCCGATGTGAGCCGGCAGCGGTTGGACCTGCACATTTCAGGGTGCGTGTGCTCTCTAGCGCGTCTCGCAGCGAGTAAGGGCAGCAAAAATCGGCCGAAAAGGCACTGAAAAATTGACAACGGAGATGCTGCCTCGCCGCTGCTGGCCGCAGCCCGCAGCCGATTCGGCAGCATGGCGTGGTCTGCGACCCGCGGTTGCCGGTGCACAAGCCGCTTACTGGGCCATTTGGCACAACAGTGTCCCAGCACGCCTTGCCGATGTGCGCTGCGACACTGACACCCCGCTCAGCACCTCGCCCGGATCCGGCATGCTCGGCGCTGTCAACTGGTTGTATTTAGAGTTAGGCCGGAGGACGCATCAGCTGCGCCACGCTTACCTTGCTGCGACTGCTAGCGAAAGTGCGGGCTTGCTCGAAGGCGCCATGGTGCGCAGCAGGGGCGCGGCAAGCAGTAATGCATCGGCGGCGTTGGCATCTTTCGCCCTTCGTGCACAAGCGTGCTCGCTGCTCGCGCTGCCCATTGCCGGGCCCCCGGGCCATGTGACCCGCTTGATGGGAGGTCCCGCTAGGGGAGCTTCTGGCGGGCCGTCTGCCGCCGGGCGCAGCTACCGCAGAAGGATGAGTAGGAGATGAGAGTAAGAGACGGGACACTTTCAGGATTCTTCAGGCAGGCGGAAAAAGGGGTAGGATAAAAAACAACATGGCGGCCTTGTGTTCGCAAATGTGGGGTGGGGGGGGGGGGGGTGCGCCCTTTCACCCTTGCTCTTACTACTGGCACTGCTACCTGCATATTTTTGGACGTGAACTCTAAACACAAAACAGGATTCCAGTCAGTCTGTGTCTGATGCTTGAGGGTTGTGTTGTTGTCCCATGCCCTCTTGATCCTTTGCGTGTTGGATTATAGAAGCCAGGATTGATTGAACTGTGGGAGCGATGAGCAATCGTGTACCTTTGCCTTGGGCCGTGGCGGGAAGTCTTGGCTCAAGCTTGCATCCGCTTTCATCTGCCGGTGAATCCACTGTAAAGGCAGATCTCAGTCTCCCGGGGCAGCAACTTTCCCGGTCGAGTTCCAAATAGAGTTGCACCTGTTGCGCAGGGATGTGGCGAACACCCGTGCGGTGCACACATTAGCTAGCGGAACAAGTTGGGGAGGCGCATCTTTTTTTTTAGACACCCGGATCACGCAAAAAACATGGTTTCCTTGGCAGGAGGTCAGCCCAACCTTATGGGGCACAACCAAGACTTGGGCACGCCACTCTAGTCAGCTGAACACTTGCAGCTCAAGCTGCGCCACGGGTTGGTGAGGTCTAGACCAAGTGCGCCTGGAAGCTGCCAAGGCCTGCACTTCATGCGAATCGACTGGTACTCGTTTGCTGCCCGCAGTTTGAGAGGAATGCGGTGACGGCTACGTCTTGGAACCTCCGGAGAGCAGGGGCCTGAGGAAGTCGAGAGCAAGAGGGGCAAAAGAAGAGACACTGGGATTCAAACATTGCTGAACAACTCAAGGCATTGATGCTGCTGTGGTTTACAAGCAAGCCTGGCATGGATTGCATGATTGACATGCGGGTTCGCTTTGTGGACTCCACATTCTTGGGGCCATGGGTGCAGGCATGGTTGCTGTGTGTTTGATGTTGTTAGCGTTGGTTGGAGTGTGGCTGGCTTCTGCCAGGTTGTACCGCGGTGCTACTGGGGAGGCGCCATGCGTACATGGCAGTCGGGGAAGCAACGCAAGAAGAGCACATGCCGCAACAGCATGTTGACAATGTTATGACTGTGCGGCTTGCAGGTAAACGGGCAGGCTCAGCGAGTGTGGGCTGCCGGCCCAGTAGTCAGCAGCAGCTTCCGACGTTTTGCACGTGCTGCGTTTGTCACAGAATATGTTGCTTTTGAGGTTGACTTCCCTTCGCGGGCCCCTCAAATGTCAATGTCCTTTCGGTAAGCATGTGCATTCAAAAGGCACCCCACGGCAACTAAAGCATTCACATGAGCGGATCATCGCTTTACAATGCTGTGGGGAAAGGTTGCACTTGAGCTGGGCGCCCTATGACACGCCGTGTGCTCAGTGCATGCCAGGCATCCTAAAATATCGTCGATTTTGCTACCGGTATGGCTGCTTGTGTTCAAAGAGGCCTGCCCAAAAGCAGTGCCGCCTGTCGCTCCTTGACGTGGCATCCTGCACGGCAACTTCGGCCTCGTCTGAAAAGGACTTTGCCTCAGCCAAATACTGAAACTACAACGGGCCACGGGTTGAGTACCTGGGGTTCGACACTGGGCGCTGGGTCATCCTGACAGGGGCACGGCGACGTCCTCTGCGCGTCTGCCTGAGATATGCTCACAGCTGGATCATGCAGAGGGCAAGCTGATGGACTGGCTGCCGGTGTGTCTGAGCATCATCTTGTTGTATCCGAGATGGAACTTTGGGGCCATCCACCAGTTCGCAGCACCCGTTCCTGGCTTAGCTAGCATTGCAGGCAGACCAGGGGCTGGGGACTGAAAAGCAGCCTTGAGTTGGGGCAAGCCGTCTCAAACGTCTCTAACACGCTGCATTGGTTTGCCGCAGTCCTCGCAGAAAATCACTGCCAAGATCATAACGGTGCTGGAAATATTAATGCCACAAGTCGCCCATAACCACCAGAAAAGCGACAGGCCTAGCTAACCATCATAGCAATGCAGGAGGCAAGTGTTTCTCCTTGCTCGTTGCCCCCTAGCACTTCTTGTATTTCCCGGGTGGGGCCTCCGCAAAAGCACTTGGAGCTATCCCTACGGAAATGCGATGTCAGTCTCCGCCCAGCCATCTACGTGTGTCCGCGTGACGGTGTTGAGGCGAAGCAGAGAGAGCTGGGGGCAGCTTTGGGATCTGTCAGCGCGATACGTGCCCGCCTTACGAAGCAGTTGCATCTGCATACATCTTGAAAGCAGTGCGTTTATGTGTCGTTCGGTCTACTGATTTGAGTTGGGGAACTTGGGTGTGCGGGTGTGTTGTTTCAGGCTTCTTTTGGCAGTGGAGGCAACCGCCTACGTCACGAGCTTGGCTGATGTTTCGGTGAAGCGCTGACGTGGGACTGCAGCCGAGCCGGAGGCAATGCAAGGCTTTGCAGAGTCTCTGGAGTCTGATGCTCATCGCGCGTTGGGGTCACCAGCTGAGCGCTGGACAACAGCATGCAGCAGTAGCATGCAGGAATCTCTTGGCCAGTCGGGACAAGGAGGGCAAAAGCAAGCCAGTCCGGCATGTTTGAGCCTTAGTGTTTTGCATGGCTTTCGATGCAAGTTCTTGCCAGGCTAGAGTTCATCCAGAGATCACTTTTCCAGTACCTTTGGTGAATGCCTCGTGTGGGTGGGTGTCTTCATTTTGGAACAGGAAGCTTGGAAGTTGGGCTCAGGCGACATCAGGGCGTCCGCTTAGCGGAAAACTCTGAGCAAGCCTTGTACGAGGCACAAGCACACAATGCAGGGAGCCCTTAATTTTGTCGCATCGTCTGCCTGCAGGCCCAAGCAGTGCTGGCTTTCAACCTCGATCCCAAGGCTGACGACACAGTTGCTGGCTTGAATCCAGTGGAGCTGCAGCCTTGCTGTTGCAGAGGAAGGTGTCAAGTACCTCAAGGGTAAGCTTGGCAAATCCAGCTCGCTCGAGGCAGCAACTGTTTCCAGCTCAGCTTTGCAAGGCCTTCTGGACATGCCTTGCATGACTCTTGCATCCGTGGGAGGTGGGCCAGTGGCTGGCGCAGATGTCCACGGTTAATGGAGGTTCGATGCAAGCTTGCCTTGCTTTGCAGTGGACGAGCCAGACGTGGTGCGACCGTCCCGAGGCCTAGACCCAACCCTGTTGGGAAATTTCTTTAGTCGGAGAGATTCTCTGGAGGCCTTGGGCTTGGAAACCACGGCGTTCCGAGTTGCATCACAGTGGCGCATTTTGTCATGATGCCTGGCAGTGGACAGACCAGGTCTTCAGGGAGTTCGTGAACTGTCTGGACTTCGCAGGGATGAACTTGGTAGTGGCTTTGCGGAAGTCCCGGTCTCGGCATGGTAAACGCCTTCAGCAAGAAGTGTTGCCGCAGCCATTCCTGAATTCAGACATGCTTGCGGTGTTGTAGCGGCCTAGTGGCTAGCCATGGGCGAAGAGATTTTCTGGATCGACTGATCTGCTGGACAGGAAAGTGCTCGTCACAGCTTCGATGGTATGTTGTTCCAGCTTCGCGCGATCTCCAGCCGACGGATTCTCAAGTCTCGGCTCGTGCAGGCAACTGGTGCGATCTCCGAGGCACGGAGGTCCCGGCAATGGCGGCAATCCTTGCAGTTGTTCACCGACTACATGGCTGCAGCCCATGCCGATCAGCTTCTCATCGAGATGCCTATCTACAATGCTGCAATTACGGAGCCTTGGTGCAGATAGCAGCACTGGTCCTGGCTCCAGTGTACGGCCTTCCCCCCAATGCCTGAGTTGTGAGGCATGCGAGGTTGGCAGCCGGTGGGTCGAGGCGACCTGACGTTTCAGAAGCCTCAGCTTCAGGATGCTTCAGGGTTTCGGCAAGGTTCGACAGGCGAGTCGAGAGCAGAGAGGGATCGACGAGGCCCTGGCATTGCTGCAAAGCGCCGAGGGATCTGGCCTGGTGCCCACCGCCGCTCGGCGCCTGCTAGGATTGTTCACACTTCTTTTGGGTTGCCCTGCTGCGAAATCAGCCGTGAAGTGGCTCGCAAGCGCACAACTTCCGTCAAATCAGATCGCAGATTGCTATAGCAACCTCGAGAAGCCATCCGCGATTCGAGGGAAGTGATCAGACCGGAGCGCCTTCTGCACTTCCTGAGGTGGTGTCACTGACGGCCGCCATGCCTCTCGGAGCATCTCGAAGCTGCCAAGAGCCGGCGCGAAGAGCCTTGCAAGCCCTGCAGCGAGGTCGGCCTGCCGAGAAGGGCGGCAATGGAAGCGGGCCCTGGAGATCTTCAGCCGCGCAGATCAAGAGGTCAAAGTTGACGAGGCCCTGCTGGGTGCAGCCATTGCTAGTGGCTTGGAGCTCAAGCAACCTTCACTAACCTATGTAAACGGTCAGCAAAGCTCTTGAGAGGTTCGGCTGTCTCAGTTCAATGCTGTGCGCAGAGGTGCTGCATCCTGGCAGCGATGGGAGCTTGCACTGCAGATCTTGGCTTCGGCTCCAGAGTACCGCGTGCTGCCAAACCTTCCAATGAGAAATGCCGGGCTTCTGGCATGTGAGAAGGGCCGTCAATGGGAGCTGGCCTTGTCAATGCTACAATGGAGCCAGGCCTCCTTGATCACAGTGAACTCCACGTTGTCCGCCTGTGAGAAGGCGAGACAATGGGAGCAAGCCTTGGCCCTTTTTGCGGCGCTTCCGGGGCGGCTTCCGCGTCCGCTGGAGCCCGACTCGGTGACGTGGACGGTGGCGATCGGCGCCATGGCAGCTGGGCGCTTCTGGCAAGCGGCCCTGCGAAGCTTCTGGGAGCTCTGCCGTTCCGAAGAGGCCTCCTACACAATGCATACGACCGCGCTCTCTGCCTGCGAGAGGGCGCTCCGATGGGAGGAGCGCCGGGACTTAGTGGGAGTGTCTTCTTGTGCGGGCTGCCCGTTGAAGGATGCCTTGCAGCTGCTCGAGCTGTGGCCTTCGCCGAGCGGAAGCACTGAGGCCCAGACTGTAGGCGGTTCAGTCGGTTGAGCCTTTATGACGTTCTTCCTAGCGGTCCTATAGCAGCCCTAAAGACCACTGCCGCCACCACCAACAACCACTGCCGCAACGACCACCACCGCCCCACTTTCAATGCTGCTGTTCATTTTGGGGCCGCACTCCTGGCAAGCAAGAGTACTTGTTTCACGTGATTCCTTGCAGTTTCATTCTTGCGGTTCTACGACGACATGTTGCCAATGCCCCTCTGTTTCAGCTGGCTTCCATCGCTGCCGCACGCAGCAGCAACTGGAGATACGCCTTGAGCCTCGCGCTGGAGTCCGGACATTTCGCACGGCATCATGCAGCTCAGTGTTTGGAACCTTGGCATTCAAGCGGGTCTGGGAGATTCATCCTCTTCTGTGCAGTCGTTGCTTCACGGGTGATGATTGTTGTCCTGTGGATTCTTCATAGTTCTACTCGTAGTAGCTGGGTTGCCCTGCTCAAGTTCTGCGGTGCCGAGAGGTTGAACTTGTTCTCATTCCCTGCCAGAATTTTGTAGCTGGAGACTCACTGACTGTTGCAGCCTTCTTCCACAGCAGTGAGTACGGAGCCCATCGAAGGCCTCACGACAAGATTGCACCTTTGTGTCGCTATAGCGACCTCTCAGCCCGTCTGTTGCATACGTAATATGTGTGTGAAGGCCTACACATGGGACGCATGGCCAGGGCAAAGCATTGTAGGTTGCATTTAGGCCGAACGAACATCTGAAGAACAGATGCAGGTGATGCACACATCACTGAGTTCCTGAGAGGGGGCGCAGTATGTGTTAGGTTTGCCGCGTTCTCCACTGCTTGTCGTCACGCTGCGTTCCTCATGCATCGTTCAAGTTTGGGCAGAAGCCCCGTTCACATCCTTGACGAAGTGCTGTAGCCCTTCGCGCTTTCACGTCTCATTCGTGTTGGCGGTGTGAGGCTGATCCGTCAGAATGACATCCAGCGTTATTTCAGCAATTCCTCGCTCCAAAGCTGAGGAGGGGGCTGGCTGTTGGGGCCACGCTGGTCAGTGCTTACCCAACTCAGAAAGCATTCTCGCAATACGTCGGCTGAAGGCCGCTGGTGACCTGGCGCAATCATGCTGCTACCAACCCCGGAATTTCTTCAAAAAGCTGGCCAGGTGTTCCTTCCGGAGCCTGGCATGGCAGAGAGCTCTCTCCAAGGCTTCGGCGATCAACTGAAGTGGCTCGTGCACCCGGGAACAGCGGCAAGCAACGCCAGCCGCTGAACAACTGGTATAGGCATTGTAGACTCCGTAGACACCACCGTCAGAGTTCCCACCTGAGGCCTTGTGGACTGTGACCAGTCGCGACTTCCATGAAGCATCTGGCATCACGATCTTGAGCGGGGTGATGCGAAGTAGTAGAAGTGTTCGGGGACAAAAGGGGTCGGCGGGAGTGCTGTGCTCTGTGCTGCTTGAGATGATCAATTCAGCGGGTGTGCTTGGCAAACCTGTCGCAAAGCACTCGGGGAGAAGAGTTCCAGACTGCACGAGCCACAGCTTTGCTCTGTCCCAGAGGCTATAGTTGTCGTCGATTGCATAGTCATTAACACCCAATCATGTCCACGCTATTCTCACCCATTCTCTCTCCCGGATGATGCGCGCCTACGCAGTAGAACCATTAGACATTGGCACAAAATGTCAATGTGTGACAACTTTCTGCAACTTCTCCTCACGAGATGCGTAGTTGATGCATTGGATATCGTGTACCTATTGGGCCATACATGGTGAAGACTCGTCCTTTGGCCTTGGCTCGGCCACGCCGACGCCTCCGATGTCTGCGGCGTGCCAAGCGCCGAGGCAAGCGACCTCCCTCAAACTGGGTACCGTGGCAATGGGCGGCGCTATGGTCATCTCGACCCGGATTTCTGCATTTGTTACTCTTCCTACGACGTGATGATGAGGTTGTGATGTTTGTCGTGAGTTTGCATGGCATGATGTGAGGTCTTCGCTGGCAAGTTAGCTCTTATCTCTTCACCGAAATGAACTGACGTGGCCCATGCGTTGCGTTCTGGGAGGCGATCGCCAGCAGCCGCCGAAGCCTTTGTCACGGAGCGATCCAGTGACGACGCAGGGAAGAAGCAGCTTCGGAGTGCCAATCCGCAAGGCGCGACAAGTGGACATGAAGGCAACCAAGCGATGTTGGATCTACAGTGGTCGGCCTTCAACAATGCTTTGTGTCAGGCGGCAAGCCAAGATGTGCAGCAGCAATTGCGTGACTTGCAGGCGCAAGCTTTGCCACGACAGTGCAATTGCAAGTACGTTGTACAATCTTGCTGTCTTGTTTGGATTTGGAAGCCAACTGGAGGCAGAGCCCGCAAAGTAAGCTGATGTTGACGATAAGTTCTCCTTGTTGAGAGTTGGGACAGCAGAACAGCAATTGCCACCTTGGCACGGGCAAGACCCAACACCATGAGATGGACCAGATATCTCAAGGTGAAGAGGTCCGGGACACGTTGAGGACGTTTCAACAGAGGGCGACAACCTACTGTACAGAAAGCAAACCGAAACAAGCAAGAACCCAGCAGGTGCCTAGCCGCATGAGATGGCAAGCCGGAACAGGAATCCAGTCAGCCACATCAGACGAATCAGACAAAACAAGCCAGAGCAACAAATAACAGCATGACAAGGGGGAGTGCGACTGCTGAGACAAAGCAAAGAACCCACGAGGAGCCCCCCAGACAGGGACACTGGAGTCCGACCTCATGAAGCAAAGCAAAATGAATGACTGGAATGGGCAGAACGAAAAGCCTCCCCCTTCAAGCCGTAACCTCAGCCACCTTCGGAGACCATGGAAGCTTCAATACCCCGAACACATGTGCAAACAGTGTACGCCGGAACAGTTTGACAGTTGCTTCATCGTTCGCTTGTGTGGGTTTGTGTTCCTTTCGACAGCTCACACCACGGAGTATTCTGAAGGTGTGAGTGAGTGAGTGAGTGAGTGAGTGAGTGAGTGAGTATCGATAGTTGAAGTTCGCGCTTAGCATTAGCAAGCTGAAAAGCTTAGTGGTGCTCAGCTTGGCTTTGCATCAGACTGCGAAGCTCTTCTCGAACATTTGTTGGCAGGCCCGTTCGACCTCCTCCGAGCAGCTGAGGGCCCGAACTGCCTCCTGAACCTCATCAGGGTTTAGGGATTTAGGGCCTTTAGGGTTTAGGGGTTTAGGGCTTTGGGGTTTAGGTTTTTTGGTTTTTGGGTTTTATGAACCTTCGAAGTTGGGGTGCCAGGTGACATGTTCGTAAATCTGAGGCTGTGAAGCGTGCCCTCCCACGGTATGCTCGCATCAACTCGCTGGCCCCAGGCGATAGGGATATCTCCCCTTCAAAACTGATTTTTTTTTGTTGACGGCCCCAGGTGTCACCTGGGGTAAGGTTCAGAGGGAGCTCCAATCCAGTGGGCACAGCTTTTGGCGGCCGAGCTTGCGCGAAAAGCGAGAAGCTGCACGCCGTCCCTCCGGGCTCGAGCCACCCAAAGGCTCGAGCAACAAGACCTTCGGTTGCAGGGCGACTTCAGGGTGTAGAGGTCGGCCCAGGGATCCTGCAAAGGATCTACTATCGGGACATCCACATCCCAGAGTTGCTGGTCTTCAAGCCCATGGGCCAGTCCCACACCGAGGACGACACCCGTTTGCACTTCTGACAAATCTTCTGAACACTCCTGCATGGGCCAGACCTGCTTCTAATAATCTACCGGGCTGAGGTAGAGATGTTTGACGAGGGGGGTCTCATCTTTCAGCAGAAGGCGCAGGGCTTTTGAGACCCAGCAGAGGGCGAAAGGCTCAGACTCTTCGTGACGTTGCTGCAGGCCTCGGCTTTTCCAGCCCTGGCTTTGCAGCCACCCCCTGGTGCGCAGGACCCTCCGTGTACACAACTCCCCTTGGCGTAATTGCCGCAATTGCAGTCCATAGTCGTCATAGTCGTAGTCGTCGTAGTCTTCAGCCCCTCCTGGGAGGTCATCGATGCCTGCGCAGCTCCGGGATCGAAGACCTCGCAGCTCGCAGCGGCTTTGCTTCTCTTTGGCCCTTCTGTTTGGATTCTTTGGGCTTTGGGGATGAAGAGCAGAGAGCGTAAGATGCACATCGTGTGAGTGATAGTTTGGGAGCCTGAGGCGATGATGTGCAACCAGGGGACGATCTATGCTTTTGACAGAGACGCTAGGCGCTTGAAGACCATGACCAGCTTGCTGGAGCAAAGACACGTCACCTGCGTGGAAGCGCGAGAGAAGGACTCGACAGAGGCTGACACCATGAGTTGTGGCCTTGTAGCCGGTGTGCAGCCAGCTTCCATGCGGCACGCCCGCCAGGACTTTCTGCAGGTGTCCACCAGAGATCCGAAGTACAGCAACGTGACGCACTTTCTGCTTGATCCAAGCTGTTCTTCCTCCGGGATGACAGCACAGCCCATCTCGGATCCATCTTCGCTCCAGGAACTCGCAGCGAATCAGAAGGCAGCTATCTTGCATGCGATGCGTTTCCCATCCTGCCAAAGAATCGCCTACTCAACCTGTTCCATCTACGAGGACAGTGCTGTCAGCTTTATTTCGTGTTTCCCAGAGTGTAGAGCCCAGATGCAGTGTGGATTCTTGTTGTGCTTGATCTGTTCCGACGCGATCGAATTCGACAAGGACGAGAATGAGCAGGTCGTGCAGCAGGTACCTCTGCAGGAGATGTCGCGCAGCCTCTAAGAGAAGCTGCATGAGCTTCCTGTCCCGAAGGTGCTTGACACCAAAGAGGGCAAGCACTTCCTTCTCGAAGAAGCGCTTCCCTGGCCCGGTGCTCAGCCAAATTTCAGATCCCGGGAGGGAGGGCAGCGGAGGGCGGGGAGACTTTTTGAGATTGCACCGTTCTATGACAGCTCTCCTTGTTGCCCTCTTGTCAGACCGCAGGTGGCCGCGCAGGGGCTTGAAATTGCCGCACTTCCCGGAAGCAGTGCGCTGCGTCCGCAGCAACTGGGAAGATCGAACCATCGGCTTCTTCGTGGCCTTGTTCGTGCGAGCGGAAAAGTGTCGCCTGTAGTGCATGTACAGGACAGCGGCTCTTGTTCATTCTTCGCGGTCCATGAATAAAACTCAGCACGACCACCCCTACAATCTGTCGGTTGTCTGAGCGGTCCATTCTCTGCTTTCTGAGCTGGAGAGAAGTTTTCGGGAGATGATGCTTCGCTCATGTTGGGGTTCGTGCCAGGCTTAGGTAATGATTTGTGGGTCTTCTGGATCTTAATTCAGTGGCTGCGCTGAGTAGGCAGTTGACGGCCCGTCTGCCTTTGATTGGTCTCTGAGGCTGTTTGATACATTCAAACCAGGTGGGGAGAGCCAGGCGCGTCCCGGGTTCCACATGCTCCAAGTGCAGCCTTGGGCGTGAGGTTCTGCAGGCGACGCGGCAATCGAACCATGGAGACAAAGTCTCTTTGTGTTCCAACCGGGTGGGTTTTGCCTCTTGCCCAGCTCCATGAAGCCATGCCCGGATTCCAAATCGAGAATCAACCGTCAGTCATGCACAAAGGGAGTCTCATGCAGCAGAGGGGGGAAGCAGAGAAAGGAATGAGAATCAGCTAGAGATGAATGCATGCATGAATGGAAGTTGAGACAGCCGATCTGCTTCCTTATGGAGGAATCTCTCAGGATTAATCGTTGTACTGCCAGAGTGGACAAGAAAGGAGCATGCACTGCCATGGCAGGTGATCAACAGAATACTTGAGCTGTTCGCTGACGCCTACTTTTTGCAGTGGTCGAAAAACAAGGACCCGGATGATTGCAGCCCGCCTTAGGGCCACTGTTGCGTAGACTCCCCAAGCCTGTTGAGGAGAAGTCTGTTCCGGAAACCGCATACGCAGCTGCCGATAGCGTGTCGGCCTGGGTCGGTGCCGCTATATAGTATAGTGGTACTCTGCGACCTAGCACGTTGAAATTCATGTGATGCCTAGGTTCTCGCAACAGCTTTCAGCCTCATTATGCTGAACACCTCACTTCACGTAGCCTCCAAGAAGGCCTTGCCCAAGACAGAGACAGAGACGTTTGTGTTCTGTTTTCTCACCTGTGATGTCCTGCCAATCGAGGCCGGCAAGTCGCCCTCTGCCTCGATGACAGCGACGGAGTTCGTGGAAAACACGCGAAGGGTTGTCAGACGACGCCTTGGCTCGGCAATGCTCGGCATAGAGATGCCCTGCGAAACGCTCATGAGCTGTTGTGAGCGGTTTCGGTGCTACGAAGGCGAAGAAGAAGTTCCCGCAGTCGCCTTGCGCCAGTTCTATGCGGACGTCAAGAAGGCGCACGGCCCGCGCATGGTTGTTATGTGAAAGGGGGGATCAAGTTGGCGCTAGGCCGAGATTTCCATGCAGCCCATGCCGAAGCCTTTGCTGTCCAGCATGCAGAGTGTCTCCTGGCGTGTAGCAGTGTAGCAATGCCCAGGCCGCGCGTGGCCTTTTCTAGGTTGCCTGTGCAGCCAGACATCGAGGGCTGGCTGATTGCATCCTCGGCCCGTTTTTGGCCATGCCCAGTGCAACCATCACTAAGCTCTTCTTTGGAAATGTCTTCCCTTTGTCAGGTGCTCCTCGGTGCCGAGGACCAAAGGCGGTTTTGGGCGGCCCGGGGCCAAGAGGACTGCGCTAGCTTAAGCTTGACATATTTCATGTAGAGATGGGGCGACAGAAAGGTACTGGCACTTCAACGGTTGTACCTTTTCTCGGACAACAGCGATGTGGATCCTGCGGATGCATGTGACCTAAAGGATCACCCGTCAAGAATTCATGTCAGCCGATAGCAAAAGCCGGAGCGAGACGTGTGGAGCCTATAGTGGCTAAGCACCACAGGATGCCAGCGCTGGCAAAATCCTTGATGATGCCTCTTTGTTGCACTTGGGGTCAGTTTTGTGCTGGGTGCATCTTGCGGTGCCTCCTGCAGGCCGATGCAAGGGAGCGTTACCAGATGCTGCAAGGAAGAGGCAAAGGCAAATGCTTCTGCTTCCCCCGCTCAGGCCAGGCCAGTTGTGTTGAAAGATGTGAGCATAATCTTCTGACGGAGTTGCGGTGGGAGCTCCAGGATGCCGAATGGTAGCCAACTCAAGTGAATGCTGCTGAGGCTGCTGCTGTCGATGCTGAAACTCAGGAGTCGATGGAGAATTACTAGCCGCCTAGCCCGCACACCTGAACTGAAATC